ATATAATATATTAATATAATAATTCTAAAGGGCTATCTTTTTAGATAAAGCCTAACACTAAACATAAGACTTTAATTTGCTAATATAAGATTCAGATAAAGGCATCACAGAAGGAGAAATTAGAAAATCCTAAGAAGTTACAACACACTCTTTTAGCTTGTAAGACTAAGCTAAGGAGAGGAGGGGATAGTGTTATAGCATGTGAATACACTAGGCATCGACAGGCCTTAGAGGCTACATAGACCCTGTATAAAGAGACCCTAGAACTAACCAAGCCTAAGAGGCTTGGCGAAAGGACACGCTCATGCAGAGACAACCTTGAGTAAGGTGTTCGTGAGGAGGAACTAATGAGTAACGCTCACAAGCGCTTATAAGTGAGCAGCCATAAGCACGAATCTCTTAGCCTATATAAGCACGCTTATTTCCTAGATAGTTTCATAGTCTTCGTAGTCAACTCATGTTATCAGCTTATACCTAAGTTAAAGACATCTTAGTATTGTTTACTGCACTTCCTGTTCTACCCAAATAACCCTTTAGACCCAGCTTCTAGTTGAGACTTGTCTTAACCAGTTAAGCCCTAATAGTAAATAAGTATAGAAAAAGCTAGCTATTAACTTAGAGCTACTATATAGTCAAAATTACAGCAGCTATCTAATGAGAAGGCTCAAAATAATAGTAAGTTACCTTATACGCTTAATTCGCAAGCATTTGTGCTACTAGTAGATATAATCTCACTTTTTGCTATATTAAAGATCTCCTCTGAATAAGAGGTTACAAAAGAAGAGATGAGCAAGGGCTCTCTACGCTCTATGCTACTCTGTAAGTGCGAATTACTTGTTCGATTTAGTCTCCCTTGCAAGTACTATCTTATATAGCCATTTGAAGATGATGCGCCTATCCCTTAATCCTTAATACACCCTTGTTAGTGAATTAATAGTGAGCCTATTTATATCACTAATTAGGTACCAACATACTATATATTTGCCTTACTGATATCCCCCTTACGACAATCTACCTCTTACTTACAGAATCCTTATATCTCTCCTAATAGGAACCAGATTACAGGGCTTGGTCTGCAGGTTCTAGAGGCTAGGGAGGCGCTTACTGGTTACGCCCGTACGCGTTATGATCGAGCAGCTACAAACGCACAACAAGGCCTTGTTGAATTTGCTAATGAGCTTACAAAGGACGACCTTGGTACTCGAATACCAGATACTGTTAAGAGATCAGAATGGAATAGGCAATTCAAGAGTCATGATAGAGCTAATAAGCGGCTTATGACAGGGGCAGAAGCAGCAGAACGTGATGCTAATAGTAGAGAACAAGCTATAGCTCAAGGAGCACGCCAGGAGGCTACTATAGCCTCCTCTATAGCAAGAATAGCACCCCTCATAAGATCTCCTCCTTCTGCGCCGCCTCCTTCTTCTACGCCGCCTCCTCCTACTGCGCCGCCTCCTTCTACAGCTCCTTCTATGGCTTCTACTAACATAGAAAACGTCCCTGATACCCCCCCTCATGAATTCGCTACTGCTGGTACTGTTACTACCACCGCTGCTGCCGCTGCGTTAAGCTGTGTTGCTCGACACAGATCAACAATAGCTCAATACTAACGTACACTACCACTTGGCGAGACACCCCACTTGGCGAGACGGTTTTTCGCGCAGCGCGTTCGGCAACACTCAAATTTCGAACAGCTATAGCTCTACCAAAATAGCTCGAAATGGACTCAAACAAGGAGCATTCTATTCAGCAGGCCTCAAATGACGTTGATCTAGGCCTATTTGACTCAGTTCGTAAAGCTGCGAGCTATTACGACGTTCCAAATTCGACCCTGGCCCATCGACGCGCAGGGCGACCCTCTATAGCAGAAACTGATCGCATTTCACAACAGCTATCAAAACAAGAAGAAAAAGTGCTGATTCAATACTTCCGAGATCTACAAAGGCAGCATTTATGCCCGAATTACGCTCAAATTCGACGAATGGTTACTAAATTGCTCCATAGCAAGGGGGATAAGATTCAATTAGGCAAGCACTACGTAGAGCGTTTAATAGCTCGCCATCCAGAGCTTAAAACGCGGCGAAATCGACTAATGGATATCAAACGACTCATGGCCCTTGATTCTAGCGTTATTAAATGCTTTTTTGCCGAATTTAAACAGCTCTGCAGCTAAAACCGCCAAGACTCAAACGCCGAATATACCTTTGCCGAATATACCGTTCTGAATATACCGTTCCGAACGCATTCCGATCCTAACAGGGTCGGACTGAAAAATATCTCAACACCGCCCAAAGCGCAGCCTATAAGATATTTTTAAAGCTGTAGTGGCACTCCCACAGCTTTTTTGCGTGTCCTACTCTAAACAGTAGGTCCCTGTTCATAAAAGGCACTGCATAACCGGTAGATTAAGGAATATATCGTCAAGATAAATACAGAATTTGAGCTGTTTTGAAAGCTGTCTTGCAAAGTGTAGAATAAGCGCAAAAGTGAGCGCATGTTAAAGTACCGCCTTGCAGGAGGATACTGTTCACCTGTTGTGGTCCTGTCCTTGCCTGTCTGAATCTATCTAGATCTGGCAGTGCTGCCCTTTTTAAGTACAAGGGTGAGCTTATTGATCAGGGGCAATAAGCGTGGAGCTAGTCCTTGTCGATCTAGATCGACAAGCCCATCAACATGGCGCTAGGCCGCTTTGGGAAGTTGGCTGTACATGTACAGCCAATTTCCCCGGCGCTAGCCACAGGCTAGTAGTGCACCTGCGCCTGCCACTCGTATGCTCAACCCACGGCCGTATTAGCCGTAGGTTTCGACAGCGCAAAAAGTGCATTTTCTGTACGCTTCTTATTTGCCAAGTGCAGGCGTGGCCTGCTCGTTTTTCAGCTTTCTTCAAGGCCGTTGACGCTGTCTATTCGCGAGTAGAACAGCCAGCCCCAAATGTAACCATGATCGCCAATACACTATAGCTTATAGCCTGTATCAATGGGGTTTGTTCTTCAGCCTGACTGTTTGTTTCGAACGGCCTGTGAAAGCCACTATTGCTTCGTCGATTGTGATGAGAGGAAGGTTCATAGGCTGTTCGACAGGCCGTCCGAATAAGGTCAGAAATGCGTTGAATTCCATAGAACCCAGGTGTTTTTGTAGGCGGAGGAGCTGCATTTGGACTGAAAAATCGCTGGATCTGCTCAAAGAGTTTTAAACCTTAAATTGACCAATATAATGAGTTATCCTGTAGTTATCTCGAACTGCCAATGGGTACAACCCAAAGTAGACGTGTACGCCTAGAAATACACGTATATCAGCTGCCGTAGTAGGTATCCATTGGCGGGAACCGTTGAGGGAGAAAGGAGGGGTTTGAAGACAGCATTCAGCACAGAAATTGGTCGAGCGTTTCTACCACAGATTGACTAAAAAAGAACTTAAAAGGCCCAATCAAAGACAGATCTGTGTGCTGAGGAGCTCCAATTCGATTTAGAACGTAATTGGCCTCGAATTGAGGCAGTTCTGGTGGAATCAATGTGGGTGATTCATCTGTGCATTCGGGCCCAGGCTCATTCGCCGCCAAAGCCCAATCGACATTTCGATCTACTGCTTTGAGCTCAATGTTAAGCTCAGTTTTCCGTCTTTCTTGACGATTCTTGGTATTTTGTAATTGCAGAGTTGAGTTCTCTCAAAATCTCAAAGAAATTTGAGCAGTTCGTTGTGGTCATAGCATGATTTGCGATTGAAAATTTCACGCAGAGGCGTAGCGAAACTACGCTAATTGAGGCACGGCGGAGGAGATAATAGATGGCTAGCATTGTTACCGCCCGCCCAGTAAGCATCCCATCAGTTTCAATTCCTTAAAGCCTTCAGCTGCGACACTCGTTTCTTTCCGCGATTACTCCCTTTCAAAGTCAGAATACCACCAAGAGGCACGAACCACAGCTAGAGTCTTCGTTGCTAGACATGCCATCCCTGGAGACTGATGTATGCCGTCGACCTAGTCTCTAGGTATGTACGCAAGTATTGCTGTACTTCGACTGGGTAAAGCATAAGGGAATGTTCTAATTCAGCAGAGCACTAAAAACCACAGGAATCCGAGGCTCCACCAATGCTCGTGACCAGTAAAGCTCCTGCTCTTCTCCATTGGTAGATTCGGCGAATCCTCAAGTTGCTCGTGAATATCCTTGGTGACTGAGTCCGGCTCCTACAGCTTCGCTCCTACGAAGCCAACCCATGCATCGGTGCTGTATGACTTCGGGCGCTCGATCGGAAAGCCAAGCGCACGGTCGATGATCACTTGTGCCAGAACTCCCATAGCACGTGAAATTCCAAAAAGTACAGTATAGAACCGGGTCTCTCGCAGACCATAATGTTGCAGCAAAACACCGGAATGCTAAAATTCCGCATTAGCTACGCCAGTGTGAGTAACTACTAGAATAGACATACCGCATCAATATTTGGGTATGGATTTTTTGTCTTGCCATGTTGTGTTAAAACCTCCGGTGCAAGTTTGTATAACTGGCTGACTAGCTTGAACATGGGATCGTTCGGAAGATGACGGAGAGCAAATGTACGTTGAGCGAGGTATCGTGGGTCTGTTTGTCGTAATACGGAATGCCCGTAGCCCGGGAGAACTTGTCCCGAATTCAAGGTTGACCAAAGATAGTCTGTAATAGCCTTATCACTCAAGTCGTCGCCAATAGTAGCTTTCATTTTTTGAAGCCAGTTAAGCGATTCCTGATTTGCCCTGGTTATAGTTAGTCAACATGAAACTCGTCGAACAAAACTCGCACGAGGGCTTACAAGCCATGTAATGGGCCAGCCAGTCCGTTGAAGCCACTTGCTAAAGACAGCATTGGGGAGCTGAGAGTACTACCAACTAAGTGAGTAGCATGGGCGCTAACGTTACCTCCTTCGTGATCTGCGTGGAGAGTAATGTAGAGTCTCATTAGTTCCGTGAACTCTTCGTTATTTCCAAAGCCCAGTTGATTGACCAGGTTGAAGGTAAAGTCTTTGTCTTTCTGTACTGCCACCGGAACGCTTCTGCCTTCGCGGAATACATTATGATATATCCTCGCTGCAATTGTTGGTAGCTTAGCAATTATATTCATCGAATCTTCAAAAACATATTCCCAGTATTCTTTCTTATTCGTGCCCCTGGCATAAGCCTTTGCAAATGCACAGTCGCGCTCAAGTGCAGTTACTGCAAGAGAAAGCTGAGCCATTGGATGGAGGTCTGGAGGACAACGGTCTACCAACTCCACGACGTATCCTGGTAAGTCGGAACGTGCTGCCCAGTCTTCTGAGAGCATACGAACTTGCTGATCGCTTGGAATGTCTCCTGTTAAGAGGAGCCAGAATAAACCTTTAAGACTTTAGATTAAGCCTAAGAAGAGGTAGTGGAGGTGCAGAAGAGGTAGAGACCTTCAGGTAGGGGTTGACTGCCGCCAGCTGCTTTGGGTAGCAGCTTCTGGCACTCAAGAATCTGTATTATAAGTATTCGTGTTTCTGTGTTGGGCAACAATATGTACCGTCCTGCCTCTGTATCGAATGCCCTCTTTTGGATCTAGAACAGAACCCTTGACTAAGATCAGACAGTCCGAAGCTCTCATTTCAGAAGATTCACACACCTCCCAAACCAACGATTTTATGCCACGAGCTCCTCCATAGACTTGATCGAGGGTGACTTCGTCAACGATCTTGGAGCCATGAACTCTGCATGAGGGTTTTGTTAGAGCCTGAAGGAAGTAAACCAGAGTTAACATAAAGAGTGACCGACTTTCTCAGCTTCTTGATTCGCTCAACCTCGGCAGGTAGTTTCGCCGCAAAGGTTTCTTTGAGTGTCTGAATGTTAAGTATCAGCCAGGGTACTCTTCGACATGGCCAGAAGCATCATCTACCTTTGGCATTGTGAGAATACTGGTTAGTCTAGCAAAGGATTAAATGGGCCGAAACGAAAGGTGACGGCTACCATATGTTATGGGATGCTTGATGAATGAGTGGAAGGATGGGGGATAATAATTAGGGCCTGCTGCTGCCGAGGTACTTTTTGCCCGGCTTGTGTAAGAGCAACTCTTTGATCACATGACAATGGTCCGTAACATCGCTATCAACGCTACAAGGTACCCGAGACTACGTAGTAGTCGGCGCGTTCCCTGATGAAGCCGGGTTAAATCCGAAGCGGCAGCGCATGTCGGCTCGTTCTCCATCCGCAAAACACGATGCACATGCTCTTCTCACAACTGGCTTATCTCGCATACCTTTTGGAGGGTGATTACAATGGTGAACAGAAGCGCACACTCCCCCACGCATTGGCCTGTTGAGAGTTATATTGCAAAAAAGTGTCTGATGTTTGCTACAGCCAGAACATTACCAAAATCATTATTGATCTTGTCCTAAGATTGTTTGACATCAGTGGGGATCATTTCTTCTCTTTCATTGAATGTACTCGAATGTTTGCGAGAGATTGTAATATTTCTTGTTTCTACCCTCTATGGCACTACAAGAAAGGCTCAGAGTCAGTGTAACCCTAGCTTATTTAGTTACGCATAATCTATTTGAGCCCGCAGAAGCTCATCTGGATAGGAATTCAGCCATGAATTTTTCAGAAGCGGCTTGAATTCACATCTTATGAGCGTCATTCGGATCGTCTTCCTCATCCGACCGGTCGCCACGAGTGTGACTGCCACATCCAACGCTGTTTCGAGAGAGAGGTGCAGTAGACCAGGGCCAAGGCTGGATTACTGTGCATTGCATAATTGTTGCGAATTCCTTGGCATTATGTAGAGAATTGCCAGCGTGGTTCTGCCAAACAGAAAGAGCTCTTGAGGATTAAATATAGATCTGTACTATGCAGAAAGTATATCAAAATGATGCTGAGTTCCTCTTGAATCTAATGATACAGATTTTAAATATAGAGAATTCTTTTTGATAAAATAGAATCTACTATGTAAGAAGTCAACTTTATTGATTAGGATCTGTATTAGTATTGATCTATATTATCAAAATCAGGAGAAGCTCAGCATCATTTTGATATACTTTCTACATAGTACAGATCCATATTTAATCCTTAAAAGCTGTTTCTGTCTGACAGAGCTGGAACGCCCGACTGCTATGTACCCAGATTGATCCCAAGATCACACATAGCAGACCTCTCTTTCTAAGGGAACTCAAACAACTATAATTTAGCCATAATTTGAGTGTCATTTTAAAGGAAATGGCGTCCGAAATAAGATAATTTTATTGGATTTTGAGATAGTGATCCAACTTCACAAAAGAGTTACGCCCAAGTAACCAAAGTTACTTAAATGCAGTTGGAATAGTATATTAATCCTTATCCAGATGCCCTAGAGAGAGTCGGACCACGACTCCATCTAGGCCCCAGGAGGCCTCCATGTCAACTCCGTGACAGATTTCAGATGTCTAGCTGCATAATTCTATGTGAAACGGTTAAGCTGAAACTAAGCACACATTGATGGTAATTTAGACAAAAGTTTTTCAGAGGGCCTTCTCTTGCGAGTAGTGAAGAGTGCACATCTTTGCAAGTTATATCTCAGCATATTTTAACTATTTTGGTACACTGCTCCGTACTAGTCAGGGTGTTGGAAAGATCAACACTGTAAGAGAGAAGTTTAATCGACTTTTCGAGAACGGGAGGCAGAGCTGGATTCACCACCAATAAAATTTTGAGAGTGAAATTGTGGTCACGTGGTACTGGCAATCCGTTGGCCTAGCCCCTTAGAGATTAGGGATTAGGGCCTGCAAAATTTCGTGTTGTTGTGTGGCCTACACCATGTAGTATCTGTTGAGGACGAATTCCAATCTTGCTTATCAATACAAGTCAACATGACCTAGAATCTTGTGTCAGATCAAGCGGCACTCAATTCTTCCCGTCCTCAAACTCGGTGTCCTAACTTCCTTGAGCAGGGATGGGACGTCGTATCCATGTCTCCTATCAACTAAGTTAGTGGGTAGGACAAACATGTTTCAAAAGAACACTACCCGCCGCACCATAAACCTCTATGGGAGCCATTCATGTATGGTGCATTGAGAATGACTGTGATTTCTCGTTTCGCTGCAGAAACGGTCAATTTCGATTTCGTTTTACCAGGTCATGGTCGAAACATGGCGAGAAAGTGATGCAGCCCTCACAGAATGTCCACAAACATGGCGAGACATGAACCAAAGATACTAAGCGGCAAATCTCCATAGTTAAGTTGGTCCTAGGATTTCATGCGAGGTTATGAATATCCTTTTTACCGTATGAGACCGAATTGGCCCATATATGTATCTTGGTCTGTTGGTACTAACAACCTAGATATTACGGGGACAAGGCACACAGATGACCGGAAGATCAGATCACACTTCCCGGAGAGATCCGGATTCTCCTATCCATAATGATATATGGCGAGGCTCTCCAAGTCGCATGGAATCGGCTGCCTCCTGGGATTCTATGATGGAATCACTCTACTTACGCTCACCGACAACATGGAATTCTCCAAGTCGTGACAATATATGGCAAGGCTTGCCAAGCAGGCGGGCATCAGCGGCCTCTTGGGATTCCATGATGGGACTACTTTCCTTACGCTCAGCACCCTCTGAGGAAAGCATTCCTTCTAGAGACTCTCCTCCTAGGCGACAGCAGCACCCATCCCTTAGTGAGTGTGCGTCTCCTCGGCAAAGTACACTTGCGCAGCCGCATTGGAGGTTGCCAAATCTCAGGGAGCAAATACCTTTGCGCCAGTTATCTTCGGGGCAGCCGCCCGGCCCGCGATCACAGCGGCCAGACCAATATGGTAGCACGCAACCTCGGGTGACAACATCAACATATACTCCCTTCTTCGCACCAAAGTCGCAAGCGAGGGATATCACAACACGACCTCCCAACCCTCCCCATCCCCCGGCAGATCATCTAGCCGTGTACTTAGCTGTATATGAGGAGAGAAATCCGTCAATCCACACAGAGCATGTAAGACGCCGCTCCAGACGTAACGGCTCCATTATAGTTCAGTCTCACTCCGGTATCGACAAATTCAGAGAATTCTGTTGCATACCGACACCGCATCGCGTCCCCAAGCGCCACATACAATTCTACTCATCTCCCGAGATCCCAGATCCCAGATATGGCTCGCCAGGTCTTCTGGCTATGCAGTTTATTGCCTGGATCCCTCACTGGCAGATTGCAAAATTAGACAAATACATGATAACATTGAGATATCGAGTGAGACCTGAATGGACTCATCTCACTTGGATCAGAATCTATCTTGAAGATCTGCTCAAACAGAAGATCATAACTGCAGGTCAGATGGAGGAAGCAATACGATTTCAAGAACAGGCTCTTGACAGTCCATATAGGGGGCGCCTACCGAATCGACAAAAATGTTTCCCACACTTATACGACTGGTAAGATGCTAGCTGCGTGCCTTGGCAAGCCTGATGGCACGCATCGTTTCCGTGCAGTGAACAGAGCCAACTATCGTCTTACATCATGTCGGTTATTGTCGAGCATGGGAAGCTGTCTGATCCAACAATATGCACGCACATGCTTATTTGAGGGATTGAAGGAAGGCATTGCGAAAGATCCAGGTTCACTAGATGGTACATTGATCAACAGATAAGAGGTAGAGGTGACTAGAAGAAATTAAAAGAGATGCTATATCCTTTTCGCTTACAATAATCGTGACTTGTTCTACCTAGCTACGATACTCGAGTACGCTTCAAGCGAATATTGACGTCTCAGATTATTGCTGGCTTGCAGACATGAAATGGTGTCTCGACTCGGCCAAATGCTAGCATAAAAAGCCAGTACTTATCCATACTACCGTAATGCACCAGAGATCACTATTGCTCAACGTCGACCAAGAACTTAGTCACTCGAAAGCTTCATGCCCTGAGCCAGCTTAACGTTGTACGGCCGACAAGCTCTGTTCATACTACGATGTACGTACTAGCAGGGCGGTGAGACTCGGCAACTACTACGGTAGGGGCATAAGTATTCGTAGCACGGCGCTAGTAACAGCTGGTTCGGATACAGCGCCACATCAATGTCTAGAAGCTTCTTTGAATACTTTCCATATCGATTGGTCACAATAGTACCGTCTAACTGCTCAAGGCTTAGATGTTACGTTTGAAACTTGTTTTGGTGCAAATATACTAGCGCCGTACCATCCTTGAGCCAGGTACCGTAGTAATGCCAGCGACGAAAGCATGCAATATTGCATTAGTGGACAAGCCGAGCCGTTAATCGCTCAAGTGACATTCAGGAGACGTTAGCGGAAGTATCCTTCCAAGTCTTCCATGGTTAAATATTGACTTTTTGATGAGAACGAGAATATTTAAGCGGGAGCAAATGGGCTGCTTGAATGGCCCAGGCCCTGGGGACCCTGGAATCATCTCAAAGTAGCGCCATCTGGTTTGGCTCTCTGTAACAGTCCGCCGTACTCCGTTAGCCACCAACATCATGATTCGCAAGGAACCCGCAGCTGATCCTGAACCTTGCCCTCTGAAGCCAGTCTCGCTTTTCCCTCTTACTCCATATTCTGCTCTAGGATCGGGCTTGACGCCTTGCTCGTATCCAATTGGCATCATGAACACTGACTAGACAGCGCCCGCAATGGCGGCGAGGCGGCGAGACGACGAGATTCAGCTCCCACAAGGCGTCTGGTGACTTCAAGATAACAAACAAGAAAAACAAGCGCGAAGTTTACAATAACGGAGGTTGAGTTCACCAGGCATTGTTCTGCGAGATCCTAGCGGTTCATTACCCTCTCACAAACTTCGGTAAGCTGCATAGCTTCTCTGGTCTCGACGGACACATCGTTCCTGGATTTACCACTTTTCTCTCCACATTCGAGCTACCACTCTTGATTCTAGTGTACCAAACGAACATTATCACTCCACACCGAGGTCTAGCATGAGCAGTCAATCAGTGCATGGACTATAACTATTCCTATGCGTCCTCAACCAAAGCACACCCTCAAAGCCTCTCTGAGCACCTGTTTTCTCCCAGCTCCCCTCTACAATGGATACTCCTCCATCACCATCAATGGCAGTCTTATCAGAAGAAATTCATGCATCTCCAACCGATGAGGCTGCGGTGCCATTGGTTGCCGTGGCTGGGCCTCGATCAAAAGTAATACCGTTGCGTGTGGAGGTAAACCATGAACAATTGAAGCCGGCTTCTACTTCTGAGGTAGCCCAACCTACGCGAACAGTATCAGAAGAATCCTTGCCAGCAAAAGCAATATATCCTCCGCCTGTTTCACCCACGCAGACCTTTCAGCCGCCCGCTCCGCCTCTTGCCATGATGCATGTCGCCAAATCACCAACATCGGCCAATCCACCAAACTCCAAATTCAAACGATGGAGCCGGCGTCGGTCTGATCTTGAGCCTAGGTCGCCGCCCATGTCGCCAGTCACCGATAACTTGGGCAAGATCAATCCCTCTGGCTCAATTGCTTCATCTAGCGCTTCATCCGCCTACTCTGCCAACTCTGCCACCATCCAGATCCCTCAACCAGGCACCAATGCCTATACTTTAAAACCTCATCGTAAACGTCAACAGTCGGACCCAAAGTATCTTCGATTCATGTCGACAATCTCCCAAAATCAAAGACAGACATCACCTGAGCAGTATGTCGGCTATCCAGGGCTTGCATCTCATATGACCGAAACGCAGAACTTGATCTTCCGTCGCTTCGATGATGTCCACGTTCGCCTTCTGTTATATCTTCAGGATCAGATATCTCAACTTGAGGCTCAACTCCGGACGCTGGACGAACGTAACATTGCAGAAAGTGGAATCCACAACGGCACCTTTCGGGAAGATGCCGACAAGTTACGAGTTGATACTATGGAGAAGCTCCGTATATGCGTGGGAGAGTACGATACAATGATCTTAGCATTCAGCAAGATGCAGGAGTCCAAGGCGTCCGAGAAGTCGGTTGCACGACTAAAGGATTGGTTAAAAAAGTACAGTGGTGGATCTAATGGTCGTCAATCCCTTCCAAAAGGTGGTGCAATTGCAAGGGAGGAGTTGGAATGGGTTGAAAAAGTCGATGACTTGACATATCTGCCAATCAGCACGGCTGCTAGCAGTACACCTGTCAAGCAGTCTTCATTGACGCGGCTGTTTGCTGGCAAGAAAGGATGATAAACGAAATGAATGCATCCAACATATGTCTTTGCTTGGGATATACTGCTGATGACAGATAAACCCATCTGGAGGACTAGATCGTTTGGAAATGAATATACCGCGGTGAGAAGTCTGCGTCCTGGATTTGGTGCTGATATTAGTTAGAGGCAGCTTCATGGACTCTTAAATCTACCTAGGGTATGATGGATGGATGTGTATACATGAAGGTGGTGTTCTTATAAGTGTCTTCTTTGTGACTTGTTTAGGTTGAAAGGCGGGTGACTTCAGCTCGCAGTGAAAATTGATCTTCGTTCATACAACATATGGCCTTTTTAACTTTGTACCACCTTTTATCTCTTTTGCACTCTTTTCTCTTTGTGGATAAGAAATTTCATGAGGTTCCATGTGGCACATCAGTACTAAACAGCATCTCAAGTCCTGTCAATCTCTCACTCTTCCCTCAACCTCACTACGCTGACCAAACACTTCACCTTCGAAGTAAGCAAATACTACAGAATTCACTCCCAAGAACAACAGTGTGCAACAAATCGCTCTAATTCGTCAAGCCAAGTCCCGGCATAGCCGCAACGGTTGAAAGTCGTGGGCAAAGAGCCCATCCATCAGAAATATCTAGCCTCGCTCCTCCCACTCCCCAGCCAAACCTCATCTTTCAGGTGAAGACTGAGCAAACCCCATATTTCACTAGTCCATCACCCCATCCATCATACATCTGCCGGCTTCCGAGTCAGCGCGAATCGATCAGCACGAAGCAAAAACCCATCCGCAACGGAGAGCGGAATCAAGAGCTTAATTATCTCCCTCCTCCCTCAACCAGCAACCGTCTCCTCACGCGAAAGTCCTCACTCCTCACGAAACGTCAAACCTGTCTTTCTCACCCTAACTCCAACCCACAGACAGTCATCGACGGCTCAGTTTTCAGGCACCGCCAATCACCAACACCTCACAAAACAGCTCCCTCTCAGCCTGAGCGTCCAGGATCCCAACATGCATAAAGCGCACCTCGCGTTCCTGGTCCTCCTCCCGGCGTTTCTGGCAGCCGTCCTCGTGGGCATACTGCTTCAGTGGCTTCTGATGAAGCGTGAGCAGAGGAGGATTGAGGATCTGGTGGAGTTGAGGACCAAGAGCCGCAATGAGAGTGTCACAGCGGTCGGGGAGAGTAATGTCGATGTGAGGGGTGCGGATGAGGGTGCTGGGGATGGTGGGAAGGGGACGGGGAAGGAGAAGGGGAATCAGGGGGTTAAGGTGAAAGGGGAGGGGAGGGGGGATGTGTGTGAGAGATGGAGAGAGGGTGTGTGGAAGACGATACCTGGCAGTTTCGACGAGGAGAACCTTGGTAAAGTTTGACGGTTGACTTATCGAAGCAGGAGAGAGACGTGCATGGTAGACACAGGCAAGACAGAGGAGCATCAAGAAAAATTAAATTGATTTCTTAGAGAACATGTACGCATCATGGCCGAGATGGCCAAGTCAGAAAGAAGCGGAGAGTCAGACCGCAGCGGACACAACGTTGTCCTGGCAGAACCGAGGCGAATAGTCGAGAAAAACACCACGAAGTGCTAGAATCTGAAATGGACCGCCATCATGTCTTTCTGTCCAATCATCCCTCCCTAGATCCCCCAAACCACAAACAGGAAACAACATGAAAACCGTAAGTTAGACGTCTATGAATCCAAGCAAGTGCCTCCTCCCTCCCTACAAACTCACCAAAATATCCCCCCGAATTTCGAGGATTAAAAAGTGGGTATCCGTGCAATGTGCCTCTCTTTTCAAAGCATCAACCCGAATCAAATCTACCGCGGGTGGGTGGTAGTGAATAGTAGCGAAAAGCCCACCTTTGATTCAGCCTCCCCCAATGTATCATGACAACGCCAGATGCCGGTGGTTGAGAAAAAACAAGACTCTGGATGTTTCAACTCTCAACTTCCCCTTTTTCCCCCAAAATGATGGTGTATGTGCTGCGTTGGCTTCTGTGAAGACAGAGCATGGGACTAGGTATGGGTTTTGGTTGTATACTCTCTCAGATGCGGTGGTGTTGGATGCATGCGATATTTGTCTGTGTGAAGGGGGCCCGTGACTGTTAGGAGGAGGGAGAGGAATATCGAGGAAAGGAGCGGGATTGGAGAGAGAAGAGAGGAGGGAGGGAGGCTGATACAGTACTAAGGCGCACACTGGAGGAATCTTATAGGCTTTGCAAGGTCTTTGTCCATGTCAGCGTGCAGGCACAAGATTCTGTCTAGCTAGAGAGGAAAGATACATCTACCACTCCAACAAAAGCACAGCGCTTTCAGGTTTCGAATATAACTGGTAGATGTATTTTCAATAGCGGACTGCTAGTGTAGCTCTTGCAATGTCATTCACAGCTGACGTTGAACGGGTAGATCTTCCCTCTGCCTTCCTCGATGGTGCACTGCTGAAGAGACATGAAATGTTTCTTCGTGTCTGCTTAAACGTCCTACTCGACGCACCAGAAGTCAATATCGTGGAGGTTCTTCGCATCAGGTCTGATGGGTGGGTGAGGGTTCTTCGAGTGACGATATGCCACTTTCCTGCCGTCGAGTTTCCCACTTGGCGGATTCATGACCTCTTCCTTCTCCCCGTACTCCCACCACCGGATCCAACCCCAGCCTTGTCCCGCTCGCAAGCTGTAATGATGGCCTGGCTTGAGCCCGTCCACCCCGTAAGCGCGTCTTTTCGGAAGCTCGACTCCTGGCTTGATGTAGCCCTCCGAGAAGGGTTTGGGGGCCCAGTTGGTTGGCCCGAAAGGGGTTGCAAGCACGAGAGACACTTCCGGGTACAGCCGGGTACAGGGTATGAAATAGCTTCTCTCGTAGCGGCACTTTGATCTTGGATGGCGGCTCGAAGTCGCAGTATATTCTTCTCCTGTGCGGAACCTCGATGTTATCGGTCTGGTCAAAGATTGGAAACTTGCCTTCGGAGAGCAGGCGACTGGGATTTAGAGCTTCGTTGTAGATCGTGATGGGCTTGTTGGCATGAGAAGTCAAAATCAGACATATTGTAGGCGGTAGTTCAGTACTGAAGGAGTGGGGTGTTGGGTCGAGTGTCCAGTTCAAGGATATCCTAGGTACGGATTCTTGTTCGGGCGGGTTGATGATAGTCTCTTTGACGCCTCCCTCTGCTTCCACAGATGGGCTTTCCATGACAACAGAGTTATCGTCCTGGAATGGCTGAACGTCTGACCCCTCGACTGGATGCGTCTTCGTGGACATGGCGTTTGGGTTGTAAGCTGTTTGGCCGCAGATACACAGCAGTGTGCAATCTTGATAAGTCAATTGCTGGAGAAGGTTGTATTGCCCCTCAAGACATTACTCGCCATTATTGTTCACACGGCATCATCGTAGACACATGTCACGCCAACACAGTCTGAGTCAGCATGGTTCCACTGATACTCAAACAAGTATTACATTGACTTAGGTATTGCAGCAGTCACATCCGACAGCTGCCAGTGGCCTGAATAACCGAAAGAGGTTGTTTCAGTGGGACTGAGGACCCGGTACGAGTACGGCGGACTATTATTGGGTTGAGGACACATCAAAATTTTGAAAATCAAAATCAAAATTTGGAACTCCGCACCAACTCCTCACATCAAGAGTCCTCATAGACTTCTGGAAACCTCACTACTACTAGTAAAATCATCGTACGAGCTCATAGAATTGATTGTGATTACTCTATTCGGGCTTGCTTGGCTTCACCTTGCGGCTACTGGTCCCAGACACTGCGTAGAAGTGCAAGCCTATCGTCTGGGTGTCGTACACATCCTGTACGACTAGGAGGCAGGGCAGTGCAGTGGTGAGTGCTCGCTCGCAAAGACTAAGAAAATATCGTACGTACCTTTCACTGAAGAACAATCGGGTTGTCTTGATCGCCCTCCCGCGGCCCTTCCAGCAGATGGTCCTCCTTAATGACCTGTACGGGCGCCTCGTTTGGATTTCGGGCCGTACAGGAGGCAGCAGCATCAGGCCACTTGCAATTCCCGCAACACCCACCGAAGTAACCTGGAACACGACGACACTCAGTAAAAGGGCGTAGCCGCTCTGCACACCGGGCACAAGGAGGGTCCTGTACGATCCCTCGAGACTGTATAAGGATCCTATTGATGTACGAAGGCCGATGAAAGCCAACTTGCTCAGGACGAAGGGCACCTCGTACGATAGGTACTACTCGTCCAGGCAAGGCTAACACGGCACGGCCTTAAGGAGAATGGACCCACGGTGCCAGCTCTTCATTAGCAACCGTAAGCACGGGAATTCCCTGCTCTGCTGGAAGGGCGCGGAGGGCAGTGAGGTTCGGATCGTATACAACTAAAGCCCTGCATCATGATTAGTATCTTCTTAGTTACATTGTGCAAGGGAAGGGTAAGTAGGGGATCTTGTAGGATACATACATTATGAAAAATTTGATAAAGTTGAAGAAGAAAAGAGGAGAAAGAGGTAAGAAAGAAGTGAGTATTACATAGCAAGAATCGTTGTACGATCTTAGCATTCACTTTTGGCAGGTGGTATTCACTTTACGTTTAGCAGGCGGTATTTAAGTTTGGCAGGTAGCATTCATAGTTAGGAAGTATGATTCACTAAGGGACTCGATTAAAGGGAACGCAGAGATGAGTCACTGTATGAGGTATTAAAGAGTGTTAAGTGACAGATCTATTAAATAACTCTTCTTCTTTCTCTTTATATATATTTAATGACTACTCCTCTGCAGCAACACCCAAAGCCCTTACGAGAAAAGCCTCCCCTGTTGCCGTATCAGCTCCCTCTACAGAGCTATCTTTGACTCAGTTCACCTTTTCTGATGCCGCCTTGCTGGCCTGGACACATCTAGGACTTCAGTACTTTATCGTACGAAGTCAAGAGGTATTAAGAAGAATTCATTTATATATCTATCCCTCTACAAGGCTATCTTTGACTCAGTTTACCTTTTCTGATACTGCTTTACCCGCCTGAACATAACCAGGACTTTAGTGCAATATTGTATAAGATAAGATTAAGAGATATTAAGAAGGATTTATTTAACGACTATTCATCTACAGTAACGCCTAAAGCCTGTAGAACAGGTTAAGGAGACCTCTGACTTCATACGGAACTTGTAACAGGCCATAACCAAAGTCATATTTGGAAAAGTAGCAGCACACAGCTTGAAAACAAGAAACAGAAGGTTAATAAGATCAGGGAACAGGTTGAGGAGGCCTCCAACTTCGTACGAAACAGGAAATAGAAGCTCAATGAAGTCGGGGAACAGGTTGAGAAGACCTTCGAACCGTACAAAGCTTATACAGCTTGACAATAAGAAACGGAAGCTTCATAAGATTAGAAAACAAATTAAGAAGTCTTCCGAGTTATGCAAGCGAGTGAAGTAGGAAGAGAAGGCCTCCGAATTGTGCAAGCGAGTGAAGCGGGAAGAGTAACCAGAATCCGTACGAAAGCTTGATGAGATTGAGGAACAAGTTAAGAAGGCCTCTGAGTTGTATAAGCGAGTGAAGCAGAAAAAGAAGGCCTCCGAGTTGTGCAAACAAGTAAAATAGGAAAAATAATTAGAATCTGTACGAAGCTCATCCTCCACAATATCACAATCTCAAATTCTGTTTTTCATATCATCCTTTACATTATGCCCTGTGTCATCTTTTATGTCCTCTCCTATATCATCTCCTATGAATTCAGCTTCTCGTACGTTTTTTGTTCGAGATGATTGCTAATCAAATGCATCTATTAGCCTTTCTGATAAGCTCAATTCTGGTAACATATTACTTGTTATATATTCATCAATTGCGGTACGAAGCTGTAGATAGATCATACGATAAGATATATTTGGATCAAAGGCTAGCTAAGAAGAATTAAATTCAAGTTATTAAAGATATTCTTGACACTATTTCATAGTATCAAGAGATAGATACTTGCAATGACTCAAAACTAGAACAAGTCAATAGTCCATAGATTGGAGGGGGAGGAGGGGGGGGGGTGGGGGGGGGGGTGGTCGTGCACAGATACATATACTCCAACGCTTATGTAAGTTACGTTATAGGCTACAAAGCATTTATAGTTCCTAATCTAGCCTCTTGCTATATAGTAAAGTTTAGGCTTCTTTAATTAGGTATGGCAAACCTCTTTATTTATAATCTATCCGGATAGCTTACACGCTTTAATAAGCGCCCTATAGCAGGAGTTTGCTTGCTGCCGCAAGTTAGTTATAGGCGTTGCCTTCTAAGTATTTAGCTAGCATATACATTTCCTATGCTATAGCAGAGGACAAGTACTATTTATTATATTACCCCCCTCTCTAAAAAATTAATTACCCTTAATTAAGAACATAAGAAAGTAAGTCTACTTCTATCCTAATGTTATTAAGTCTAGCAATTCCCTATTAGGTTAGTCTAATATTTAACTATATATATATAACTAAATCTATTACATAACATCCTTATTAGATTTTTTGTACTCAGCCTCAAATCAACTAATTAGGCATTTCTTTCACTAGGTGCCTTTCAAAATAGTCCCTAAGCAAGTCTTTAGAGCCCTTAAAGTTTAAGATAAGGTAATAGGTCAGGTCCTCTAGCCAGCCTATTTATCTTGCTTATATCTTCTATGCTTTGCCTACTCTCTTAATATTAATTATATCTTTAATCTCTTACGCCTCCTCTTCTTCTGTCTCTACTAGCAGAGATTATAAGTACTTCTACCCTAGCAGAGGATTGACAGGGTTCTTAGTCAGCAGTAATATATAAAACACATTATAAATCCTTATTAATAAGGGCAGTTCTAAACGAAAACTTTACTTAAGCCTCTTTATAGTAGGGAATAGCCTAATTTATTTTAAATTAAGTTTCTTATAAAGTCTTATTATGCTAATATTCTTTATTAATAGCTAGACCTGTAATGGATGCTACTATGCCGCCGATAGAGGCATCCGTACGGCACGTGGCTCCCCGTACGAGTACCATGGAACCGGAGATTGATACGACCCCTTTAAGGAAGTACAATCTCCTCTAGAGGGAAGCTACCGCTTCTGGCCCTGCAGATACTCCGTCGGATCCTCCGCGCAGGTTAACTAGTAGCACCCCTTGTGTTTGATGGAGGAGTATATAGAGTAGAGCGCTAGCCGCACTGTAGATAGACTCCTCAGCTTACGTTTTAGTAATCTATGGACTATTGACTTGTTCTAGTTTCGAGCCATTGTAAGACCTTATCTTCTTCTTTAAAATTAATTTCCTAGCAATACTTATTCGCCTATTCTTATTATTATAATTACATAGTCTTTAAATACTTTTATACTTATTTCTAAATCTTTTTTATTAGCTTTGCTAGATTTTTCACCTTTCTTAAGGCTATATATATTCTTATTATCTCTATAGATTCAGGCTTATTAAAGCTTATTCTTAATTAATATTCATATATAATTATAAATAGTAAGAGCTAAGTCGATTCTAATATAATTATATTTATAACAAATTTAATATTCAAAAGAAGATTATTCTAATTATTTTATATAAAGTCTATATAAGTCTGTAAATATTATTTTATTTCTGTGTTAGAGATCTCTGTCTAGTTATTTATTATTAAGTAACATAGCTTAAACGCTAGTATAGCTATATAGCTAATAACCTTTTTATAGTATAGCACAAGCTGCTATAACTGCCAAAAGGATTTGGCTGTACATATATAACCAAATCCTAAAGCGGCTTAGTGCTACTCTAGCACGTTACGTGCCCTGATTTCCTATGCTATAGCATAGGAAATCCTATTTAGGTAGCTACTAGAAAATCTAAATAAGAGTATACATAATATAATAAAGTAAGAACTTTAATAGGTTATAAGCCTGGCTTCAAAATTACTAAATAGGTAAGCAAGGAGGCAGCTTTAGTAAGCTTTACTTCTCTTAAATAAGTTAGATAGGCTTTTACCTAGCTTATCCTATCCTTTCTTTAATTAAATAAGTATACTAGGCTACTAAATTATTATATTCTTTCTTTAGTACTCTCTGTTACACTTATTCTGTTTAAGCTGAACTCTATTTATGCTCTGCTTTATTTACTAGCTATTATATAAGCTAATTGACCCTGTTTGTAAGAGAAAGACCTAGAATGTCTAAAGAAGGCCTAAGAAGCTTCTTTATTAAGCTTATTTTGTTAGAAGGAGAGAGACCTTAGATGATAAAGTTATTTCTTTGTATTATATCTAATTTATAGGATCTGCTAAAGTAGCTATAAAAGTATAAT